TCGGCAAGGACCTGAGAAACTTCGACCAATGTTGTTATTGATCTGGGAGTCCCAACAACCTGAAGAACATCAGGGTTTTTAGTTCGAGCATAAAGGCGGTCCACACCGAGGGTTGGTGAGTTCATTGCGTTCGCCGTGATTGGTGGGACAAAAATTAGCAGACGACGATGCATGCTCTGTGGTTCTGTGATCCAAAATTGAAAGGCTGATATTGGGAAACCAGAATCATGAGAGAAGAGAGTCTGAACGACAAACATCAATTCATGCAGTGACTCAAAAAAAATTAGAAAATACTGGGCATTCAAACCACAAATTACAGCAGACTTTAGTAAGCTAACAGCGTAAACCCTCAGTGAGGGTTCGTGAATATGTGACTGTATAAGGCTCAACGAAAATTCGAGAGACAAAATAACTTGTAACAAAGTAACACACGCGAGCAAATCAAAACAGTGAAAAAAACCTGGGAGCAGAAGGAACTTTTGATACCGAGGTAAAATGAGACAAAGCCCATCGAGTTATTTGTGTGAAACCGGAAACAACTGTCAATCAGACAAACATCACTCATTGCCGTTGAAGTAAAAGGCATAAGCGTGGCCCCTCTCAAAACCGAAACACACGTATCATACCACAGCCCGTTGGAAACGTCGTTTTTATTTATACACTACTGTGATGACCAATAAATGGGATGATACAGCAATCAAGAGGAGCTACTGTTTACCAATACAAATCAGAATACAATTCGTGCGATCAAACAAGTAGCCTCTTACGGTGATGGGGGCAATATTGTATCAGGCAAACGGGAAGCGACGGTGGTGGACGTGGTTTAAGTCATCCAAAATTAAGCTGCGGAGTTCGAATCTCGTCACCGAAGTCCATTTTTTCCCATCAGTGTATTTTCCGACAGACAGCTCCTGGTTGGCTAAAGCCTTTATAAAGTGAATTTATTATTACCAAGAAGTCGAATTACGACCATTGCTGACCATCGGGCATTATTCCACTAACAAGAAAGGTAAACGTGTCACGTTTCACCGAATGAAGCTTTTCTGTAGGCTTTACACCTACGGAAAGCAACGATTACAACTATTATTCAACAACTAGTTTGATATTAAACCACAATTTGTAAAAAGTCAAACACTAGGTAAGTTCTATGTGTATATGTTTTGACGGTGCTCTTGACAACAGAGCTCGGTAACTTTACCCTGTAATCGACGGATAAACATCATTATCATCATCATTACCATGATCACACCGGGTTGAGAATAAGCAAAGCGCAAACGCAATGTAAAACAGCGTTCATTTGTTTATTATTATCAATGAACGTAGCATATATTTCATTTCTAAGATTCGGCTCTTGAAATCTAATAAAACTGACCGAATGCTGTCAGTCGTGAACATACGAACTCAACGGCCAAATATTATGAAAGAGATAGGCCAATAATGAAGGTTTCATGTAGGAGGGAGAAACGCCATCTTTCCCTTACTTCACCATGTAAGAACAACTAATTCCGTGAGTAAACATCACAAATGTCGAAAATGCTAGGAATGCTTGCAGGTAGAACCTCCACCTAAGCAAAGTATATCTCCTCATATTTGGTATGGTGCAGCATTACCTTTATGACACAATTCTCGCAAAATGATATGTTTATATGTATATATATGTTTATATTCAAAAAAGTGACTCAAAAGGAATTAAGACAGAAAATCGCTTTCTGTGATGAGCTTTATGGTAAAATCACCAAAATGGGTAACATTGCTTCTACAGCAGTACAACTTCCAATTTGAAACTGAGTGTATGTTTCTTCAGCATATGTGCACGTTAATTTATCATCGCTGCTTCGTCTCGTCGCCAAGCCTGGTTACGGTCTATAAACAGGGGGAAAAACAAATCCGTGAGCAAAAACTAGAATACCTTGAAAGAACCCGGAACTACGGCTAAAAATGAGTAGTGCATGTATAACCGTGGAATACACTAGAATGTGGCACATCGTTTATTAAACTGGTGTCTGTTGATCGGGTTATACAATATTCTTTCAAACTGACCTGCAGAATGAGATGGAGTGGCACTGTCTGAAGCCGGGAATAATGCCGGAGGGACTAGAACTTGGAATCCAGGAAGTGGAATCACATCGAGGCGTGCAAGGGTTGGATTGTTTTCTCTAGGCTCCTCTGTTGAGGACAACTCCACTGAGAGTCTAGTACTTGGTTCCAGTACAAGACCCAACATCTGGGAGTATCTGCCCCACAGTGCATTGGGACGTACGACACACTGCCATTGTGAGTTGCCCGAAAAGAATGGCGAGTTAGGGAACAGAGGCTCCAGGCTCACAGTGAACAAATTGATCAATGCGAGCGCATCTGAATCGGATTCGATAGCGCTGTGCAGGGTTTCATTTTGGTTCCAAAGAACCAGTAGATTGAGCCATTCGGGTACAAGACCATTATGATGCGTAGTAGCAGGGGGGCGATCAGCAATAGACATATGTAAGTTACATTCCAAAGGTGCAACAGACGCCAGAGAACGTCTATAGCCATCCAGTTTGAACGAGCAAGTTGAATGGTCGCTGAAATCATGAGAGAAACGAGTGCTATTAAACTGAGACTTGAAAAAGGATCATCGTTCTGCAATTACAACATTGGTTGCTAACCTTTTTGATTCTTGATCGTGACCCACTAGACGAATTGGAAGTCGTAGAACTCCATAAGTGAGACTGGTGCTGGAAGATGCAGAGGAAAGGATAGGAAATAGGACTGGACCCTTCTCGATGGCTGTTTCTTCCTTGTTCGCGTAGACTAGCTGAATGGCTGATTTCGGGTCGCTGACCAGCGGTGAAACATTGACTGTGACCAAATACGTCATTTGTTTGACCGAATAATCCCCATCCACAGAAGAGATATTGGCTAATGGAGATTTACCGATAGCAGGCATCAATGAATAGAGCAGATAGGCTTTGCCTGGGCGACGCGCAAGAAGAACTCGATTGCCAGAATCGACCCAGAAAATCGAAGGATTACTGCTTGACCAAATACCACCAACTACGAACGAAAAAAGAGGTGTAGCACTGCAAGTACAAGTGAATTTATAAGGTGGGAAGGAATGTTCCCCTAAGATTGCGTAAAACGTGTATCTATTCTTTTCATAAAGTTCGGGCGACCATTCAAACAACATGGAGGGTGAATGATATACATACGCCCCCAATCTCCTACTCCGGTACCGGAACGCATGCATAATTCTGATTGTAACAATCATTCGTATTATGAAAGATTCACTTTGCAAGGCTTATGAGATGCTATGCAATGTGTCAGTGTCTATGCACAACCCGGGGTAACCTTTGTGGCAATATACCGTACGGTACAGAAACATAAATACAACAAATGCTGCGGATGGGATGTTTAATGAGGTTCATCATTATCGTGTCGGGTGAACAAAGCATGGTGTCGTTTAAATGATTCATGCTGCAGTACTCGAGCGGTCATACGCTGCCCAGTACCATACCTAGCCTAACGAGCAGTGGTGAATGTCATTCACTGTACGGCTTCCGTCACCATAACTCAAAACGCGGTATGTGTGACTATGGTTTTTATCATCGTACTGTGCGATAAACGGGTATAAGATCAAGCAATCACTGAGTGCTTATACGCAGTTTGATTCATGAAGCTTATACGTTGCGAACTTTTCATTGATACAACATAATCAACAAAACAGATTGTAGTATACCTGTACGTGAATCGAGTGAGTTGCAGGTTTACTGCAGTTATTTTTAAAAGAAATTTCAAGGAGTAATCACGTATAAATAAAACATAGCAAACTAGGGATCTATGCTTCCGGAAATCGCTAACTTCAAAATCACACGTTTCTCACCTTTCAACTCCGGTAAACAAATCCATTGGGAAACGAAAAGAGACGTCTGTCTGAGAACATCCAGTTCACCGCCGGCAACCAGACCCAAGAAGGAAGGTGAAAATCCAGGTATGGATTGGGCATTGTTTAGCTGTAACACGGTGGGTATATTCCACGAAGATTGTCGGTCTTTCGTGTCCGTGCTACCGGGTAAAGCACGGATCATCAGAACAGACCCATGTGGATCAAAACTCGTGGGTATTTCACCGTTAGCGTGTGCAGACTGCATGGAAGCTACGGGCGTAGCCGTGCGACTGTTAATCAGTACTGATGAGAACTCCATGTGGGCGTCAAATACGTCCAAGCGATTCAAGTTCATGGAGAGAAGCGTATAGTCATCTAAATAGGTTTGGAACAAAAGTAAGGGATTAACTACTAGCAGTGTTGCTGAAAAAGACCCATACATGTCAGTGAAGCTTCCCTAAGGTTTATTTCTTTTAAACGCTAATCTTTCTCTCCCTTATCAAATTTTAAATCGAACGTTGTCCGTAACACAGATTCATGTAACTTATTGGGACTATTCTATCCAATGAAGCGCGAAAACTTACGCCTCTTCGGTGGGAAGCGTCAGGCACAACGCTCCAGCATTCATCTAGGGCGGAGGGTGACGAATCACTTGCTCCTCGACGTTTTTATTTGCTGGAATGACCTCTCCAAGAGAAGAATGAAAACCCAGAGGGAGCCAGGTGTCTTCTAAGCTGGTCTTATGGACCGGCTTGGCTTGGCTTCTACTCATTGAACCTACAGGCATGACTGGACATGCAGCTGTGAAAATCGCGGGGTTATGGAGGCACGCAAGCCATCAATCCACGTCAAGGTGCAGCCTGGTCGGGAACATTTCCTTCACTATCATGTGTACAGTATACGGTTGTATGATGAGGTCTAACCCCTTGACTGTGGTCACTTCTCATTTGTATCGCATCATAGATCGACCTCCACATAATTGCCTATTTTCAGACCCAGCTTATAGCGGCCGTTACTGTTTTCAAAACACGGTCGAGTCATCCCACTGTTTCCTATAGGTGGATTCATTGAAACGAAAACGCCTGGAAAAACTCAATCGTTGGTTATTAGGTAATGCACCTTCCTGATCTTCAAAACCTGCTGGTGGTAGTTTGGGGCTGTATGATTCGTGTCCTTGGAGAAGTACTGAATCTTCAAGGACTTTAATCTCGTTGGGGTCCAGTGGGTTGATTATCGACCGGAATTGATACGCACAGATGAATTAATCGCATGACAGCTGCGAGAATTGAGTCACCCTGCTAAATTCGCGTAAGGGTTAAGTATGATTGACGACTCGATCAGCTTGCTACCGTCAACCCTTGGTAGAGGTTTTTATTGGATCCGAGATCCGCATTGCAACACACTGCAACACACGGTCAGATTAAAGGTGTGCTTCTATACATGAAATTCTGATCAACACTATTACCTCTGGCTAACCGCCAGAAAGTAAATTGATGTCCCAAGTTACAGCTGGCGTTTTCTGTGTTGTAGAGAGAAGAGTAGTTTTTAAGTCGGTGGGTTGGACCTCGTTCCCCGTCACAGATGACTGGAGTAGATGTGAGAAGGCATAGATAAAGTTGATCATTAGGAAAGTTCCTGGTCTACCTATCACTAAACGCATGATCGTTTCGTAAATTTAGACGACAGTAATCATAGTCCCATGGTAACTTTTTTGAAATAGGAGTTCAGCTACTGACAATTCCAAGTAGCACAAATAGCATACACGAAGAAACTTGCACGTATTGCTTCACGACATCCACGACAAAACCAACAGTTTCGTGCAACAAATAAGTTCGCGATTTATGGTCTCTGTAAAATTAATGTGCTTGTTCACAATCGTTCAAATTGAATTAGTAGTCTCGACTTTTAATCCCGTTCAATGATGAGTACGGTTGAATAATTCGATATGCCATGATCAGGCGAACTAGTATTGTAATTGATTGTTCGTTCACCAGTGGAGTGATTCCGCCGTGAATTCCCCGAAAATTTCACAAACTGCTGCCCAGGCAACGTGGTAGTATACCACTCACTAACAAGCATTATTGTTGCATTAACTGTTAGGCACAGTCAGCACACAGATGTGTGAAATATAACAAAGAGAAACAGTTCATCCTCGAACGCAACGCGGATCGCAAATAGACCAATATTCAGATTGATGTCAAGCAATTTACCTGAAACTGAGTCAAATGTCCTGCCAAGTTCGTCGTGATAAGTAATCAAGAAGCGATAAGGACCACCAACAAGGAGCCCCTTGGTTTGTAGGTATTCACCAGGAATAGGAGTAACCATCAAATAACGAGGCTCTTTGACAATGACCTCCAAGAACGTAGTTTGGGAAAGCATTCTGTCTTGGGATGTTTGAAGGGCAGCACGTGATAAACGCTCCTTAGGGGAAGCAGTAAGTTTCACCAGAGTGTAGCACTGACCAAAACTATCCACTGTTTGATGGCGTGGTGGCACGCGAACAACTCCATCCGCAGAAACGCTTAGCGCCTCGTGCTTACAAAAAACGCTACTATTAGGATGGGCGGAAGAGACTTCGTATTGCACTTGGCTATTTGAAATTCTGAAAAGGAAGAAAACAAACGAGAAACACAAACTGGAGATTCGGAGAATAACAATGAACACGCTTCTTGTTCGCAAAAAAATCTAAAGGAAACAAATACTTCGATTCCCCGGTCCCCATTTTCAAGTTAGTTAACTGCGAATTCAAACACGAGTGCGCATAAAAACATCAACCACAAAGACAACTACAACGAAGAAGCCAATGCATGTGTAAAAGTGATAATCAGACGATATACAGTGTGAGAGGAGTGACATGCGCTGGGCGCATGTTCGATTCCCATCATTTGAACAAATTTTGTGAGGGAGATCGGTTCCTTCAAGTCCATACTCAGTGGAGCTTCCCGCCGTCGGGAGCGTCCCAGGGTGGTAGACGGCAAAAAGATTACTTAGGTAGTCAATTCTAAATAGTTGGTCGTTTCTTCGCAGATTGAGTGGTCGATGATTGTCAGCGGCGATAACCGAAGACCTGTCAGATTCTCGTGTGACACTTCGGCAACAAAAAGCCGCAAATGTTCATAGAAAGAATCGTAACGTTTAAGAATTTGTTTCACCATCACGTAAAGTTATCATTATGGAGCACTTGTCCATATAAGAGATAGAAGTCCATCGTTGCAGAATAAACCGTGGTGCTAGTGAAGTCACTCTGTACTTTACTACCAAATTTATTGAAAGATTGCGTAGATTCATCCTGAAAGTGAAGCAATTGGTTATATATAGCTAGCTACGTTGTTGGCTGGTGCGATAAGAAGTTTATTCTCTTCGTGAGTTACGATTACCGGCAACCGTAAAATGAATGGAAGATCTTCATGGCTATGGTTCTTATCCAAATAGGAAACTTTTCTCATTTGTTCAGCTCCTTCTCCGTCCCTCAAAACACACCGAATGCGCTTCACCTGGTCCTTCTCCTCAGTGTATGTCAATCTGCATGACCAATACTGAAGACACCTCATTGATTAAGCATAATGTAAGAGAACTCTACAAGTCGGTCTTCGGAACTGAGCATCCTGCATTTCAGGTTCATCACCAGCCGACAGACTTCATGGTCATTGCATTCTAATCAACGATACTACTCGAATGTCGGTCAGAACAACGATGGATTCTGGCACACATTCTAAGCATAAATGGTGGATCTTTCTGACCTCTGCTGCACAGCTCGATGCTCGCACAGTCGTCCCCCGGACAGAGAGCAAATCTCGGAAAAGCCAGCTAATTAGGAAAATCATCATCGTAAAGCGAAATACACCGAAGTGAACTTCACTGATTGCTGCCAAATTCGCAATGCATATACATTGGGGTTTGATGAACGGGTACNTACTGTTAGCATGTTCAGGCACTAAGCAGGAGAACGATTAGGGTTATCGTCCAGAGCCTCCAGTTCTAACAAGAATCTGACCGCAAGGCAGCGGGTGAAGCGAAGTGGAGCCCATTTACTTGGATCAATCACTCGTCCACCATTTTCACTGAATGAAACGCAAATTCTAGTCGAACNCCTCAAAGTGGAGGATCAGGAAACTAAACTTCATCCGACTTCTAACCAGCGATCTTTAAGACATGATTGGATCTTGGGCTTGAAAACAGCCATCCCGTGTAGCTCGTTGGGTCAAAGAGGTGCACAAACCACCATACCACGTCAAGGCGCAGTCTCGTCGTGATGGCAAACCAAGAGCTCCAACGAATGGCAGTGTTTTACAACATTGGCGCAAGAAGTTGGACGTTGTGGTGGTGCCAGATGTGTAATAGATTTTTCGCATTCTCACATTATCTGGAAAAAATTAAATCAGTATTACTCGGTACAGTTGTTATCTGCATCAGTGATCACTTATTGAACTGAAAGCGCCAAACGTCGAACAGCCAACTTTTTCAGTACAGCCAAATCAAGCATTACGTTATTGAAAAACAGTTCAAAACGGACAGATTAATCAATATTGGATAGCGCTTACACATCAGTCCATGGTTTGATGTGAAACCGAGAATTGCTTGACATTAATAGCTGGCGAGGATTTGGAACCAACGGAGCAGCCAGGCTGAGATGAGGTAGGATGACCACGGTAAGTTGAGCGTGCAACGTACGAACAGATCGACCATCAGGCCCCACCAACTGTCCCGAGGAATGATCAGATGCCTTAACAGTCAAGTGAACAGTAACTCGACCGGGGGCCTGACCAATCAGTACCATTCCAGAAGCTGAATGGATCTGGAACGAAAATCTCAGACAATATTAGGATACATTTGAACTCTCAACTTAGAGGCACACAGGAATGAAACCATTATAGAAGCGAGTGATTTCCTTAACGAATTGCCTGGCTAAATGGCTCGGGAACTCCGGATAATGGTCAACGAGGGTTAGAGACACTGAGTGATATGGCTGGGTGTCACAAACAGTGGCGCTCGTGCACCCGCTCCTCATTCCCCT